TGAGGCAGTTATAGTTTTCGTTGCTTTTTGTTTCAGCTTTAACAGTTTCTGGGACTGGCTTTATTGACTTTTGGTTTTTTTTTTTTTTTCCTTCAGTTTTCCTTTTGCAGAACAAGGGCGCATGTGTGTGTTTGGTTTTAACGGCGTGCATGGCTTTGCCACATAAGTGGAAGTGTGCCCCACTGGCTGCCTTTTTAATCATTCCCTAGTGCTTTTCAATGAAGTTGAAAATGACCTATTCCTCCTCAACACCCTGGTTTTCATATCACACTTTAAAAAAAAACTAGGAAAAGACGACATGATCTTTTCTTTTGCTTAGAAATGAAAGGGTGTGAGTCTATGCAGAGGTGCAGGGCGGCTGGAGAGCTGAGCCTTCTGCAGGGCTGTGTGAGCGGCTGCACGTAGGCTGCAGAGGGTACAGCACTGCCGTGGGTGCAGCGGCAGCTCCCTGCACTGCTTGAAATGACTCACAGGAAGGCAAAAGACAACTAGGCCCAGAGACATTTTTAGGCACATGAATCAAGCACATGGTAATTTTTAGCAGACTCAATATTGTGCTGCTGCTGGAAAGCTTGCAACCACATGCTCCCCACAAAAGGGGAGCATGGCAACATATGGCCATGGTTCAGAGTGGACTGCTAGAACAGGAAGAACTGACAGGAGTGGGACACTTATTTGTGATTAGCACTGTTGCTAACTGAAAATGTTTCCTTCTGATGCCCTCAGCCGCTTTTTGCCTTTCTGCCTCCTACTTGTTTCACAGAGGTGGTTGGGAATTCACGTAGCACAGGGAAAAAATGCTGCACTGCAGTGGGGTCACTGGTGTGTTGCACACTCACATGCCACATTGATAATGTTTTCTGGCTGGACAGCAGATGATGTTTAGAACATCACTGATTGCTACTTAAAAAAAAAAAGAGGAAGAAGGGAAGATATCTAAGTAGTTAAAAGGTTGGATATTTTACAGAAATACCTCATGACCTGCACTCTAATGATAGGTGGGAGCCCAAGGCAGATGGAACTTTTACATATCCTATTAGGAAGCGTAAGGCAGGACTGCTAGGATTTATAGGAAGTCCTCATTGCACTTGTGCCCTAGGGTACTTTAAGAATACACACATTTCAAGGTTTGGATGCTCTGAGAATAATTCTGAAGGTATCTATCACAGGAAGGCTGCAGAAGTCCAGGGCAGGTTGAAGACTTTCCAGAAACTGAGTGCAAGTGGCAGGGCTGTGGCATTAAGTGGCTGCAACTTTTCCTGCCTGAGCATATTGCAGTCAAAAACAGAGCAGAGAGCAACTGGATAGGGGAAGAAGAGCCAGGAGAATCTCAACAAAATTCCAGTAATGTGGGTCCAAGAGGAAACACAGGTAAGAGTCTTGGAACGATGGCTCTGTTAAGAAAACAGGCTGCTTTCTGTACCAGGGAAACACCTTCCTCTGGTGAGATCCTGTTGCATTTAGGGGCTGTGTAACCATTCTTCATGAGTAATTCTGACAAAGGAATATCTACCTACCTTGTGTGATATCTTCCTCAATGGACACAACCCTGCAAGTCTTCCCATGAGCACAAACAACATTTAGTAAGATTAAATGTTATTTAAAAAATAATCACTTTATTTATAATCTATTTAGCATTACTTTGCACTGCTTGGAATCACTAAAACAGCTTTCAGCTGTTATCCCAACAAGTGCTTTTGCAGGTTGAAATGCAGTCTTGGTATTTAAAGTGGCTGCAAACCAAAGATGCAATTGCAACAGAATATGAATATTTACAATAAAGCTCAGGGTAGGAACAAGATTGGTTTAGGATATGCCTGATTTTCAGAGCAGGAAATATCTGAAGTTTTTTTTTCTCCTCTCTCTCTAAAAGAAGAAAAAAAAAAAAAAAAGAAAACTTCAGAGACAGATGGTCTTATATGACTCACGGCTCTAGTGATATATGTTGATATGGAAATCTCCCTTTCATAGGTAACTCATCCCTTTAACCTCTGAGAAGGGCTAACTGGACCCATCCCTTCTTCTGAGCTGTGCTCCAATATTCATTGGAACTGCAAGTTGTTCAGTGGATGAAAAAGGGGAGGGCCAAACAACAGTGGATTTTTCCACTTACTCTGTCACTATTCTCTATGCCTGCTGAAAGAGTCTGCCAGGACTCAGTTTTTCTGCTAAACAGCTGCATGTCCGGGAATACTCTGGTGGCAGATGTAGGGAGAGTCTGCCCTGCAATCTTTCTTTTAAAGGACAATCCCATCTTTCCTCTTTTCAAAGAAGGCCCCATATACCATATCTGGCAATCATATCCACTGAGTTAGACGTAAAATGCGCTCTGAAATTTGACCAAAAAGTATAGCTAAAAATCAAGCATTAATCTCCACAAAAAATAAACCATAAAAAAACCCTTAATATTTTGAGAAAGCACTTTCCCATCGCAACCACAACCTTTAAAAAAAACACAAACAAAACACACAGAGGCTCCAAATCATGAGTCTCTTGCTGGATTTTTGCTTTTATTTTGGTAGCAGACTTGGCATTAAAGCAATAGTGAGTAGCAGCCAATGAGGCACCAGTAGCTCTTACATTTGTATCAAACACAGATAATAGCACGAAAACATCAGTGTTCAGAAACCATGGTGAAGGTTCAGAAATAATCTGTTACCACCTGAGGGCACCTCAAGCAAAGGTGGTGCTGTTCCAGCCTACGTTGCCAGCACTGATCTCAAAGAAGCTGACATAGATTCTGAAAAGGAAGACAGACACCGTTAGCACCAAGACCAGAGAGCTGCAGCCTCACTTTTTATATATATATATATATATGTAAATATTCTGGCAACTGAATGTCAGTGTTTTATTCTCCTCCCCACCTTTCATACTGTGTGTGATTGTGTTCTGGAGTCCTTAGTATTGTTCTGCTGCCTCTTGTTTTAAGGTCTTAGGATCCTGGATTTTAACCAAAGTGACAAAGTCACTTCAGCACAGACTGGCATACATTCAGGAATGTGCAATAGAAACACTTCTATTTAAATGAAAGTTTCATAGTAAACCTTCAACCAAGAGACAATGTAAAAATGTTGACACATGTAATTCACTAGTTAAATGAAGTCAAGTTATTGCAGCTGTACCCAAGCTTGCACACTATCTGTTTATGTACAAGACCTGTGGGTACACAGAATGCCTGAATCCTTCATAATTTTAAATCAAGAAAAATAGTTTACAGCTTTTCAGCACTGAAGCTAATGCAGTCATTCCTTTCTTCTTTTTGAGGGTTACTTTATTAATTTGGCATTTAACGTCTTCCAGCAGATCGGTAATAGAACATCAGAGGACAGGCTTAGCATTAGTAGCCTCAGCATCTTTTGCAAGCCACGTCAGAAACTGTTGCCTGAGTTTACCTGTCAGCTGGTATTTTCAGCTGCTTGTTCATCAGGTCACATAGCAACTTGGAATAGGCCTTGTTCTCTTCATCTCCTATCTTGCCAATGCTATAGAGAAAGCACATAGCACAGGGCTCTGTAGATCCTCCAAATGACATCACCTGATTAGGGTTGATCTGTATTGCTAAATACTGTTGGAAAAGAAATTTATCTTCAGTTATTATACAAAAAAACAAGTTTTTGAAAGTCACAGAACTGCAGTAAGAATATGTATATACTGATCATTTATGCTTTTAAAATTCTCTGCTGTATGTGTCTGCAATTCCAGATCTCCTGAATGTTTTCCTGCAAGTCACCAAGATGAGGTGTCACACACCACCACAGCCATTTCCACAGTATTCTGTTTGGAGATGGGCATTGCTGCCAGAGCTCCATCTGTTGTGGAATGGCTGTTCTCCTGAAGTCCCATTCGCTTAGGGCTGCTTTTTACAACTAAAATGCAAGTGAATGGTTTGTTTCACGCTTGTTCTCACTCAACAGCCCTGCAGTAGATCCTGCTCTGCCTTCTGCCATCTCCTAGAATTTTTTCCTCCATGCCTCACAATGTCCAAGGCTTTCATGTGTTGACATGAAACTGTCTAGATTTGCAGTGCACTGTGTGAAATTCCTGGCTGTTAAAGGCTGGTTCAAAGACATCCTGCTATTTAGGCTGGGGAGGCCAAGTAGCTAACAGTTCTGGCCAAGAGAGGACAGTTGTGGGGAAAACTACCACATGTTGTGTGCTGGGCTGCCCTCTAGGGCAGCCCTCCTCTTGTACCCCAAACACACGTTAAGCCTAAGATAAATCTGATGCAGTCTTGAGCTCTCCAAGCAGACCCTTCTGAAATACTCCAAAATAGGGCAGGAGGCAGAGAGATCTGCTCCAAGGGAGACAAATGCTCATTGCTTGCCAAATATCACCAGTCTACTAGCAGAGAGTAAGCGCTGTAGATCAGTTCATAAACTAGTGGGTTGCAATTGATAATAAATAAAATAAAAGTTGGGGGCCTGCCCAGGCACACAGCTGGAAGGAGATCCCTGCAGTATCCTTTACTGAATACAAGCTTTGGGTAGAGAGCTCAGGTGCTCCCAGGGCTTGTTGACCTGCAGCACCTCGAGAAGCTTCCCCAAGCCCGGGGCTCCCTGGCCCCGGGGGCAGAGCGAGCAGCAGCAGGCGCTGGCGGTCGCGCAGCTCCCCCCGCTTCCCGCAGAGATTTCGTGCCTCGCTGGCTCCAGCCATAGTCGTCTCCACAAGGGCAAATGCAAACTGACACCGCTGAGGTCTAGATCAACATCCCTCTCATTAAACAAAATACAACGTAATCCCGCTTTTGTCCTTGATGGCAGGACAAGTAGGAGAATGTATCTATGTTAATATTCATCAACAGCCTGCAGTTTTCCCTGCTACTAATACGTAGTGTCAGATCCACACACAGGGGAGCACGGGGATCAGTTCTGTTGGCGTTTGTCTGGCTTCTGTTCTTACCCACGTTTATTAGCAGCGCATCATTAGAACTCAGCAGCAGTTAACCCTCCTGCTGGGACAAGCTAGCCCGAGATAGCAGGAGTTGTCTGGGTAATTAACCTTGCCCATCGTTTACAGCTTGTTTGGGTGCAGGGTGCATCTGACAAAGCAATACAGAGTGTGTAAAGATCCGGCTAAATTACCCCTTGCTCAGCCCTGTTCTCTGTCTGAACACCTCGTTCTCTCAGCTAGGTTTAGGCCAAATGTAAGTATACAAATTTTAGGCACAAATGTAGGTCTTTAAACACCTATTTCAGAAGCAGGTTATTATAAAAAACTTATCAAGCTGAAGTGTTAATCAGCACTGTTCTCCTGAGAGCAGTTTGAAAGCTTTTTGAAAAAGTTTTCCAAGTACAAAAAGCTGTTTGATGAAAACAAAAGAGCAGGATTTTTCCAAATGGTACCTTTTCCTTTGAAAGCTCTGCATTCCAGCCCCCTCTAATCCTTTCCGTCTTTGTGTTACAACTAAGACTCTCGCATTGCCTCCTTTGTCATGAAGGGCTTGCATGTCCTCTCCAAAAAATCCCTTTGTTGTTCCCTGGAGAACTCCAAGCCCCATTCAGTACCCCTTCCACGCTGCTGCACAAACATGTTCCAGCTGCAGCCCAGCCTGGCCTCTAATTCCTATTCAGGGGCTGTTAGGCAAGAATCACCAGCTGACAAACCTCCCCCCTGCCCCCCAAAAAATAATAATAATAATAATAAAAAAAACAGAAAGTACTCATTGGCTAGATTGGAAAAACCTTTGCTTTTAGAAGGAGGAAGAGAAATTTCACTGTTTCACATAATTGTTATATTTCTCCATGCACAGAAGAAAAAAACACTTTTAAAACCTTTTATCTACAGTTTAGCCCAATTTCTGTAGGGACAGGGTTTATGCAACCTAAAGCATTTCTGAATACTCAAGGTCAGCTAACTCCAAACAAGCTTGTAGAGATACTGGTTTCCTACACATACAATGTTAGGGCATTATCACAGAGTTCTACTACTGTCCCCAGAGAAAGATCTCTTCATTAGACCGAGAATCTGCCTTGAAGAGACATAGTAAAACCAGGTCTCCTGTGGTCTGTTGATGCACAACCAAAAAGCCAACAGCTCTGAACAAGTTGGCTTGGTGAAAATATCCAGCCATGGGAAGATCTTTTTGACTCTCAGCTGCACGACAAAGATTTTGTAATCAGAATGCTAAGCAGTTTTTATTGGCCAGAGAAGTGCCAGTACTATTAACCATCCTACCTCTGGCCATGACTTTTTTTATGCTCTTTATTGATACTTCAAACTCTCGGTACTTTCAATCTAATATTGTTTTCCTGTATGTCATTTTGTTTTTTGGGGGGGGAAAAAAAAAAAAAAAAAAAAAAAAAAACACCTTTCCTTGGCAGTTAGTGAAGTGCTAACTGTCAGGTGAGGAGCTAGCGGTGCTCTGCTTAGCCCCAAGGAATAACACAGCACATTGCTGAGCTTAATGTCTGTTATGGTATATTTTGTAGCTTTACAGACTGGTGACTGTTAAGTCTGTTATGTGGAACCCAGCTGGTGACTGAAGTTCTTCAAGCTTCCATCCAGGGTCCCAAATATTGCTTTAAAATAGCCTGACTGCTTCTCACTCCAGTGACAAAGGGAATAAAATCCTTCCTCAGAATTTCCTCTCAGTCTTCTCTTTTCTAGACTAGAGAAGAGATTTGTGCCTCATGTTACATTAATTTCTCTAGTGTTTTTCTCCTTGGGTGCATTTTTAGTCTGCCTACCTCTTCCATAAAGCAAAGGGCCTGAGGATGTTTTTCAGGAATGCTTCTCCTGAGGCCTCCTGTTCACGTAAGTTACTGCTGCCATAGTAACTGAGGAATAGCTTGTAGCTCTGTAAAGCATAAAAAAACAGGGTAAAAACTACTCATCAACAGCTTTCAGTAAACAACTGATACAACTCCTACTAGCCTTTCTAGAATAATTAATAGAATCCTTACAAGAGCCTTGGGAAGGAAAGTCATTTTCAAGTGGCATTTCAGCCCTTTATCTTAGAAGTATAAAGTCATAGGTTTTAACAGGTTAAAAAAAAAATCCCACAGGCTGATAATGCAACCAGGAGGTGTTTTCTACTTTAGCATTTTGACCATGAGTAATAGGACTTTGCAAAAAGTTATTTTTGCTAGATCTGAAGTGAGCTCTTCTTCAGCTGTAATTACAAGGCTGCAGATAGCACAGTGGGAGATAACACAGTGTATTCAGCACCCAATCAAGCTGCAGAGCCAGGAGCATTTTTTTCAGACAGCTGGATTGCTGAGAGGTACCAGGCACTTACATAACCAGTTACTTGACACAAGCCTGCATGAGATAGAGTCATATACCAAGCTATTGCAAAGACTGCATGATTTAAGATCCCAGCCTAACTCAGGAACAAAAACCCAAGCACCCAACATGTTTATACAGGGAGGAGAATCTTAGGGCTAGTGAGTCAGTAGGCACCTTAGTTTAGCTAGGATATCACTGAGAATAAGTCACAGCACAGAGCCAGTTGCCTATTAATGGAGAGAATATCCAAGCATTAACACTTACCTGTGCTGGCTTGCCCAGTGCTTTTGATAGCTGCTGAGTGAGCTCTCCTAGGAAAGAGTCTGGAACTTTATCCTTGCTTATATTTGTGTTAACTATGAATTTAGGCATCTTCAGATTGTGAGAGGAGTCTCCTTAGTCTTGCCACTCAACTCATTCACAGCTCTGCTCCTATCTCCCCTTGTAGGCTACTCACCCAACATGAAGGAAAGCATCTCAGGAGCCTTAAATATCCCTGTTGTCTGACCTTGCCCAGGTGCACCTGGAGGAGTGAGGAAAGGGGCTGCAAGTGCCACCTGCAGGGTGCTGGCTGCAGTGCGGTCACCCTAGGGCTGTCACCGGGGGAAATGTTACTCCAGAAATCAAAACATGCAACACTGATAAAACTGGTACTTTGTTTTTGGATACAGTCTAATCATGGAAACCAGTGAAAGAACAAGTGTTTCAGAGACAAGTATTCAGAGAACAAGACAAGTATTTCATTCTCAAATGTTTGAGAATGGGAGGCTTTTTTTTTCAACATACATGTAAAAAATGTGGATGGACTCTTCAACTGTGAGATCCCCCCCTTTCTGGGGGATAGTGCATACTAAAAAACATCAGTAGCACATGCAGTGGATGCAAGTGAATGCTTGACTGTGATGAAGCTTCATCCAGAATGATAATGATAGGAACTGCTGTTTGCAATATTGGTGAGTTTCTCCTTCAGTAAGTTTCTGAAAGCAGGTGACATGATCCAAAGCATTTAGTCACAAATCATACCGTAGTTATTAGTTGCCACTTCAGAAAAGCAAAACCGTATTTCTAACCAACTTCACAACTTCTTTTCTGCTGTGTGTGTGGTAGCTGTTATTGTAACAGTGTGCAGTAGTCCCTAGTTATTTGCACCTTGTTTATATAAAAAAAAATCCAAAACTTTCTTGTTTCTCAAAACAACTGATGCAATTCCCGGAAGCTGATGTAGCAGCTGGGAAAGCAGATCCTTAGACACCACAGAGGCTCTTGGGAGTGGTTAATTTTGTAGGAGTCATTTTGACTATAATGAATATAATAATGATGCAGTTCGATAGGTTCTTCTTGCTGCTGAGAGTTAGTTGTTTGTTCAGCACTGAGTTTTCCATTACATTTCCAGACTGTTGTGCAGGATGTCAACAATATTCTCTCTCTCTTTCTCTCTCTTTCTCTCTCTTTTTCTCTCTCTCTTTTTTTTTTTTTTTCCCTTTTATCCCTGCATTGTTTCCCTGAAATCCTTTTCTCTGATTTTCTTTGCCGGCTTTTCTATCTGCATCGCCTTTGGTCACCCCAAACCATTTATATAGCCTTTACTCTATCAGCCTGCTAGTCAGATATTTTCCACTTCTATTTTTTACCTTCTTTGTGACTGGTGGTTATTTAGTTGGTTAAATCCTCCCTTCCCTTAGTCTGCCTCCTTATATTATCCCATTTATCCCCTCATATTTCAGATATTCTTCTGTGAACTGTTTGTCAACCATTTCCTGACACTGAGGTGCTTAGTCGTGGTCTGGTCTCCTGTGGGTAAAGGTGACACAGAGCAGCAGTCCTGGAATGAAGGGCCATGAGCTGAGGCCTGCAGTAGTGATCCACAGCCGGGAGGCTGAGGGCAGCCAGTGCAAAAGTTCTTCAAGGGGGATTAGGTCTGTGGACTGTGTGCAAAATGTTTTAAAGCTTCATAAAATACATTAGCATAAAAGATATATATATATACTTAGAATTTTATTTATATCCTGTATATTTTAAAAGTGAGTGATGGAATTTCCTGGAAAAATGTTTAAGTGTCAGGAAGAAATAAAAATTGAGCAAGAGGAATTTCATATCTGTGTATTTTTAAAAACAATAGGAATAAGACACAGTGTAGCTTGCAGTCTGTTTTTATTTTTTCTTTTTTTAGTTCTTTTGCAACACTGTTTCCTGTCTTTTCTAAGAGATGCAAATTTCTCCTCTGAACATTCAGAGCCTGGTGCAGAACAGCTGTTCCTTAGGAAAATTATTTTCTGTGACTGAGGTTTCTTTTTTTCCAAAATTTAACCTGTTGAACTCTGCTTTTATTTCCATGGTCGACTTCCCCTTGGTCTCAGGGAGGTACATGTAGATGAAAATTGCTGATGAAGCAAGGATTCCCAAAAAGATAAGGAAGCAGAAGGGTCCAAGGCTATCCTGCAAACAGAAATGAGAGATGCTGTGAGGAAAATGGGAGTCTCATTTTGTTTTCCTGCCCTTGGGTGCAAGTCTGTATCTTCATAATTAAAATTCAAAGATGTGCTCACGAAACAAATCAGAAAAGGTACCAAAACAGTAGTTTCCACTGGTTATGTGTAGTATAGCCTGACTCTGCTTGTGGCAGAGAGGGTCCTGAGCAGGGCTGGGGGACATCGCTCTTGTTTTGTTCCCTGTCCAGTTGTTTCGCTCCGTCAGAAACGGATGAGCCTGGAAGGAGCGGTGTAGTTGGAGACACTTACAACAATCACTGGAAAAATCATCCCAAGTACAAACAGCCCCATCCAATTGAGGCAGCCGACGATCAGAAAGGCAGATGGTCTAAATGACTGGCTGAAGATTTCAACCATGATCGATATAGTAGCTCCAGCTGAAAAAGAAAAGCAAAACACAGGCACAAGGTACTTGTTTCCTTGGTTCTTCAGGGCCCCCTGCTCCTGCCAAAGGCAGAATGGTTGGCCTGCTGGCAGGTGGCCTTTGTCATGAGACTAAGAGACCATGATTCCTACAGCTGTTAATTTAGGACTTCAGGTTTCAGATGCACATGCCAGAGTCCTCTTCTTGGTGTCAGTGCATCTGTGCACTTCCCTACTGCACTGGGAGGCACTATTGATGCAGTAGTTTGTAAAATCAGCTGCCCTACTGGCGCTGTGGTCAGTTCTGCCTGGAGCTTGTTGCTAGATGTGGAGTTTTATTCACTAAGTTAATGAAGGGCAGAATTAATATGATGGACCTAGCAATGCTTGGAATCCTGCCCCCCACACCCCTTTTTTTTTTTTTTTTAAAAAAAAAAGAAAGCTCTGAGTATTTAAAAAATTCTTCTGAAATTTTTCTTCAAACCCTCTGGAGAAGGTGATACTTCATACCAAAGTATTTAGGTCCTGTGATCAACTATAAAGTTACAGGTGTCTGTATCCTTTACCTTTCTCCCTCTTGTACATGTCTGCTGATGTTAGTGAATTCACAGGGCTGAGACCTCTTTTGTCTTGCTTCCTAGAACCTATTTACCATGGGACTAGCCCCTTCTTCTTCTGTTGGTTGTGTAACCAACTGATATGCTAAAAAAACTTCCTGCCAACATGACCGCTGATGTACTCACATGGTCCAATTCCATAGAAGATAACGAAGAGGAAGATCAAGACAACACTGAAGTAGTGCATCCAAAAGAACTGGTGCTAATGTGAAAAAATGAAGTAATATAAAACAGTTAGATACATGACAGAGTAGCAGTGCGCGGAATTTTCTCCTGTGGACTAAAGTTTTGTGCTTATCCTAAAGGATCAGGAGGGCTGGCTGATGTGGAGCGCATAGCCAGCAGGTTGCTCTATTTACCTGCAGCGAGAGGGTCATGGTCAGGAGCGCTAGTACGAAGCACATCAGTGTGTATCCTCCCAACAGCAGCACCTTCCTCCCAAAACGCTCTATAAGGGTGCTCTGAAAAGCAGAAAATACAGATGCTTCACATGTCATAAATCCTTATTCTTGTACAAAACAAATCCTTCCCTCTGTGTGCTTATCAGACGCTTTATCTGAATAATACAGCCAAAAATCAATGTCATTTGAGTGCCTCTAAACTCCTGATGGATTTTATTAGTTTTTTCAAGGCTGTATTTACTAATCATTCCCTTTCTATTCTTAGACAGTTCCCTTTCTTGCATGCTTATCTGCATTGAATTGCAAACACATACACCCAGACCCGCACATCTAACCAGCAGCATCAGTTGTTGCACGTAGCCAAGACTCATGTCCCTTTGGAGCTACGTCCCTGATTTTCTTGATCTCCTGATGCCTTCTCACAGAGCAGTTGATCTAGGAATTGTTGGTAACAGAGTGAGAAGATAATTCTGTGGAATAAAAATGAGTCTAAAGATGTCCAGTCAGTTGCCTTTCATCCTGCATATGCTTTTGCAGAAGCAAGAAGAGATGGTTTTGGGTATGCAAAAAATCAGTCTTCTTTGATCAGAGTTACAAAAAAAGAAAAAGTACAATGGATAACTACATTATTTTTTTCCTCCAAACTCTAGTCAGAAGAGACTTACGCATAGTATAGAAGATAGGCATTCACACAACCCAATTCCTAGGGACACGTATGGGATGAGGGATTCTTCAAACTTGGCTGTGTGGAATACTTCAAATGAATAGAAGTATATCTGGAAAATGCAGAGAGAAAATGCACCTGTGAAAAAATCCACGTGGCAGCCCTGATGCATATCCCTGTCCATTGCTCTTGGTGAAGCTGACACAAAAGTGCAGTGTGCCCTTTCAGCAGTGAAGGATAATTGCATGCCAAGCTATGTTAGTAAGAGCATAGCCAAGAGCTTGAGGGAAACTGTTATTTTCCTCCATGTGACACTGGTGAAATCCCACTCAGGAGTCTGGGTCTGTTTTGGGCCCTGCAGTACAGGAATGACACTGAAAAACTGGATTGAGTTAGAGAACCACCAAGATAAGAGGTGGTTCCCCTTGCTGGGAACAATGGAGGAGACGCTGAGGGAGCTGATTTGTTTATCCTGGAAAAGGCAAAGATGGGCTCCAGCTGCAGGTGATTAAAGAGAAGATAGAGCCAGCCTCTTCTCTGTACAGTGAAAGGATGAGACAAGTGGAGACAAGTTGCAGCAAAGGAGATTCTGACTGTGTAGAAGGAGAAAAATTCTTCACAGCCAGAATAGTAAAGCCCTGGAGAAGGCGCTTAGAAAGTTTGTGGAATCTCCATACCTAGATAGAGTCAAAACTCAGACAAAAAATCCTGAGCAACTTGATCAAATTTTTAAGGTAGCACTGCTTTGAGCAGCAGAGATAAACCAGATGGCCAAAGGTCCCTTCCAATGTAAATAATTCTGTAAGTCCAATTCTGAGTGGTGCAACAAACAGTAATT